TGGTGATAACGACAAACGAATCTCTTCATCATGTACTTTCATTCGAAATGAAGTTCCCCCTAACAATAGACATAGAGTGATTACTTTTTTCGTTTATAAGCATACATCTCATATAGAGTGGCACGTTTATATTCAAGAATTACTAATAGTTTCGAAACAATTTAACGTCGACAATACATAATCTAGTCAGCTATACTAAAAAATACCTCTTGGCCTTGTCGGCAATTCCCACGATATTTTTGATTTGAAAGAGTTCAGGGTTTCTCCGAAATTCAAATAAGACATAATATTGACTCTTATGGTCTTCATACCTGCAATTAAACAAACCAAATATAAATGGTTTGACCTCACTTGGGCAACTCGGTCGTGTTGTCGAGGCACTTTAGATGAATACACATTTTTTACATTCATTTGTTATAATATTCAGGATAATCTCAAGGGTCGTATCAGCAAAGGGCTTCATTCATAATCACTTTGTCGGCACCGTAAATGAGTCTTGTCAGTCATACCCTCAAATAAAACCTATCAAAAGGACAAATGAAGTATATTCTTTGAGCAACGTTTTACCCGAAAATTATGGTTCCTCTGTTGTTTCTTTCCTGGTATGTATACTTTTATCGTTCTGCCGAAAGTTCGTTAAGATAGGAATATGATTAGTCTATTTTACTAGAGGCAGTTTGGTGCTAAGAATGGCAAAATTACTGATATTGCCGACTACGATGCAGGAGAATTGTCTGGTAATGCGAAAAGTCGGTCAGATGCTGGAAATTACCATACTTTCTCTGACAGAAGAGTTTGGACACAACTTGTTGGTCTTCATGTCCTCTTAGATTTGCGTTGGCATGTGGATTATATTAATGCAATCTTAATAATTTATATGAAGTGTGAGAGATCTAACTGAAATTGAGGCCAGTAAAACTTTATTTTATACACTCTATCTTATTCAAGATATTTTCATGAAGACCAACTCCATTTTATTTATGCTGTAGGTTGGGTATGGAATATCCAATAAAATCATGGGTCGCCACAATAAGGTAACAATATTAGGCATCAGGAGTAAATTGCATCGCAGCCGCCACCATTCTTTTTTCGTAAATCCTGATTTTTGGCACTGATGAGAGATAGGGCAAATGAAAGCTTAGCAGCAATTCTTCGGAGTCGCTCCATCCTTCTTCGGCCTATAGCGACCCTTATTCATAAGTACAAAGCATCATTTCTGAAAATGGAGCAGAACGTAAAATTCACTATGAAGCATTTAAACAATTAGCATTCTCATCAACATCCTTTACCCTTATTGAACTTATTCGACGATCTACAGAGGCCGCCTTTTCTTGACAGTAACTTGAGACATCTTCAAAACAACTTTAAGCCAAGGCGATCCGGCTGCAGTTCAAACGAATTCTCATAAGACAAATTTTGTTCCTAATGACAGGCCGCAAAATCAGAGATAAACAATTCGTACAAATACTGTCACCTCACCCTGAAAGATGAACGCTTACAATTATTCGAATGACAATATCATGAGGATTGCTAATATTCTCCTTGTGCTCAACAAATTCAGGATTAAAACTATCTTTAAGCTTGATAAGCACGAGGCTCCTTACCCATCATATCAGAGTTTAATCCCAAGCTTCTGTTACCTATTATTTGACGTGACCGTGGTAAAAGTGATAGAATTGAATTCACTTATCCGACAGAAAGATATACATGCTCAATGATAGACTTATGTTGATACGCGCGAGCCCAGGCTTTTGACTAAACGGAGTAGTTTAGTCGTTCCCTTTGACCTTAAGAAGGCTCAAGTTAGAGCATTCTGTTGTAGAGGCAGAAATAGTAATTGCGGATTAAAAGACCTTCGTCCAACATGGCAATATGCTGCCAATGGAAACTGGGTGGTATATGAAATCAACTTTGACACTTTATCGCTTATTTGAATAGAAAACTTCGTCTCATCACTGTACGAGCATGAGCTTAAACATGCGCCTGAAAACTATCCAGTTCTATCTGGCGTATATTTCTGCCTCGTATATCTGGAGCTAATGTTGGTATGTCATTTGGGGAACGGAATATGAAAGAACATTTATTTTATATGAGCCACAATGGCGATGATACGAAGAAGGGTTAAGAAAGACCACTCTACCCACCAGCATAATGCGGGTATCAAACCTAAAGCATTTGGTGCCGACTATCCGGGCCGCATGGGTGGAAAGTTAGCGCGACAAGCTAAAAGACATGTCTGCTTCACTAACCAGTTACATACGTCCAACAGGTCTACACTCTTGTTAGCCTCGATTGCGTAAGGCGTTTGGACGTCTTGTTGTCAAGTCAGCTATGAAGTGAAGATTGACGCCTAAACGAATTGGGTTGCCTTAGTAATTGGCTTACGACAGCCAATTAAGTGTTGAGTGTAGACGATCAGTGTCATTGACGCATGCTTGAGCTCCAGGCCTACGGAATATGACACAACAGAGGCCGCGTTGATACGGTAATTGGCTGTTATGTCAGCAACAGAACAACTTTTCGCTTGACTGATAGGTAGATCTTGTTATTTAGCCGTTGTATCGTTAATGCTCTGTGCACTGTTTATGATGAGCCCAACAATTCTGCCTTTGTTCGACTATGTCAGGGATTTGAAGAACGCCAACAAAGACTTTGCTGTTTGGTGCACAAGATCGAGGGACGCGAATGCAAAGAGCAAAGAGCCTTGAGATCAAACACCTTATGGTCATGGCCTGGATGAATGGGGAGATGAGCATAAGCACCTCTAAATCGGGCTTAGCTTTTACTTATCTCATTGCATTTCTTCGTTTTGCCCTTCTTACTTCAATCCACCTAAAATGGCCAGAATTTTTTAATTCAAGAACAAACACATAATGAAAATCATTGCATTAACGAGGCGGATTTGTTAATTGGCTCATAATGTCGATTGATATAAAAAAAGCAGAGGTTTTGCTAATCTGGTAGGTGTTATTTCTGGATGGATGGAAGAAAGAAGAAAAGCAAAAAAAAGAGAAAGGGAGCCAAGCAAGGCTTCAAGACAAGCAGTGAAGCGTATAGGAAGAGTGGAAGGGTAGAAGAAAAGAAGGCCAGAAAAAAGAGGCAGTAACGAAAAAAACGAGAGGGACGGAAGTGACGTAAGCGAAAGTGTAAGGGAGGTGAGAAAAAGTATGTATGGAAAGGGCATGGTGAAGGGAGGGTGGGAGACTGAGGCGGGGAAATAGGAAGAGCGGAGGAAAGAAGATTGGAAGACGAAAAAAGAGGAAAGGAAAAGAGATAGGGCAATTGAGAGAAGGACGCAAGGGAAGAAGGAAACGGGTACAAAAAGAAAGATAGTATTGCCCTCAGAAAGAAGCAGGTAAACTTTCTATTTTGATTTGGCTACGGCACTTCATAGTTGCCTTCCACAGCAGTTTAAAGCTCATCTCCGGCAAGCGGAAAAATTAGGCTTTTCTGCAACAAAACTACATCTTTCAATCTTAGTCAGTCTTAATGTATTAGTCAAGAGGGTCTGTTGGAAACTGTTAGCTTAGCCTGACGGGGAAACAATTTCCATCAGGCCGACAGCGGCTTGATAAAGCAGACAAGAAAAGTCTGCTTGTTCTTTTCCGTTCGACATGAGCTCGAGCCTGCCGACAAAGGAAGAATGTAACCCTACACAAATCGTGTAGGCAATTTGTATTTCATTTTATCATTTTACCCTTTCCTCGGATGAATCGTCTTTTTGCCAAATCGAGCTAAACAAACCAGTTATCTCCACTCCCGCGCCTCTGCCTAATCCTCAAGGCACATGAATGTAGCCAACCTATCAATTATCACTGCTACTACCTCCTCAGCCGAGGATCACGGTAGCAGGGCTGTGTGACGAAGCATTCACGTCACATCAACCAACCACATTGTATATGTTAAGGGCGATTTTTCCACATTACCTATGAATTATGCCCACCCATTGTACACATTTGCATGCTATTGCAAGTCTGCACATGTGCATATGCGTAGTGGATCAAGCGTACATGATGCAGTCGGATCTTTCCGTCTTATCTAATTCGATTAGTATGGTGGTTTTATGACAGGCCACCTTGAACCTCTGCCTATCCCCGGCCGGAAGCCGGCCCCACCCAGCCCCTACTCTACGGTGCCCCACCTACTTAATTGACCCCAACGACATTGACAACGACATGGAAGTCATAACTTTAGGCGTGCAATTTGGTCACTTGGCCAATCCTAGAGGACAGGATGAGTGTGAATGGATAGACAGATGGGGCACCGGATGGGGCTGGATGGATAGAGGGCTCATTCACAAGCAATCTACTTGTAGATTGGCATACGGAGCCGGCTTTCATAATAACTATTGCAGACGAAACTTTGACCCGGAGTATGGAAGAGGAGGTGGGTGTGGATGTGGATGTGGGTGTGGGTGTGGGTGTAGGCGTAGGCGAGGGGAGGGGGCGGGCGTGGGAGAAGAGGACAAATCAGCTCGTAGTTGTGGGTCGGCCTGGGTCAGGTGGCAAATGCCGGGCAACCTGGTGGACGGACGGATTCGAGCGGCATGGCTGTGAGGTAGCTCCGTGGGTCCCAGTGGCGAATAGGAAAAGCAAAGAGAGCCTATGACCACATTTGCCAAGGTCATGCATTTTATGCCCTGAGCCCCATCAAACGTGGACTCCTTCCGATCCCAGTCCTGCATCTCCCATCTCGCAACTCCCAACCGTCTGGCTAGGCCGGTCAGGTTAACTGCCCAAAAATGGTAGATCGGTGGGCCCTTTGCTGTGTTTGAGCCGCAGCACAGCCCGACGACGGCTGGCCTCCAAATCCCATCGGCAAGTGTGCGGCCGTGTCGCATGCAATCACATATCGCTTTCTCGATAATCGAGGCGTGAGTGGGAACGCCGACGAGTGTATGAGTATGTGGGCTGTGTGGACGCAAGTGTGTGCACCGGGATGAGCATGTTAGCGTATTGGCGTAACAAGGTCGGGCTGATGCGACCGACAAGGCCAAGTTGCAAGAAGGTGGGCAAGCTGGGCCGATGGGCCAAAGGAGGAGGCGGCCAAAGACACCGTCGCCGCCTACCGAAAGCGGTCGCCAGTGGAGCGTGTAATCCATGCCTGCACGAGGTAACCGCACGGTGCCTTACTAATCCCCATTTTACTCTATCGAATCGATGCTTTGCCACATCCAGGCACATGTTACAAAGGCTCGAACGGTTGGCAAGACTTTCACCTCGCCAAGCCACGCCGGCCGAGAGGAGACGAGTTCGAAGGTAGTCAGGCCGTCGGAAGAGCAATCAGGCCGCTTGACCAGGCAATGGAGGAAAAAGCACAATAAATCTTAAAGTGAAGTAACTGCTCTTCGGAGAAGGTGAGACCGAAGTAGAGTGAGAGTGAGAAGGTGAAAAAATAAAAGACTGAAAGAAAGTAGGAGTTAAAGAGTGAGAGTGAGCGAAAATAAATGAGAGTAAGTGAGAGGATGAAGGAGTGAGCGAGTGAGATAGTGAGAATGATAGTGTAATAAGGCGAGATAGTGAGAGCTATAGAGTGAGAGAGTAAGAGAATGAGAGGGAAATGCAAGAATGATAGCGCGAGTGACATGTGAGAACAAAGGTTTCCGAGGCTGTTAGGGCAGAGGACATAATAAATGGGTATCTCCGTGGGTTCCATCGAAGAGATGAAAACCAAGATGATGTATCCTGTGATTCAGTCGCAGTCTCCTTTAATACCTAGGAAAACTGGCCTTTGGAAAATCTCTTAATAGATTGAGACTGGACTACCTTTCGTTGCGTTTTAATAAACGAGTAATAGAAATTCTTAAGTTGGCCTAACCGGAAGCTGTATAGGGTTCGCTTCTATAAAGTTAATCACAGCTACAAGGCCCATACAGCTTCCGGCAAGGCCAACTTAATAATCCCTTCCATTCACCTCTTCAAACGAAATGAAATGTATTATACATAATTATAGGTGTAACTATAAGCTTCTATAATAAGATGAATCAGCTCTGAAAAAGTCTGTCATGACGGCGGAAAAGTCCACGCATATTTATTGGAATTAGGGGAATTCCCTGAAATGCGTCGATATGAAATTCATGATAAATGCGAAAGAATGCAGAATAACAGTAATCATACATTAACTGTAGATGAGGTTGACCAATAAATCTTCTCATCAGGCATTTCTTAACAAAATCTAAAGTCACTATGAGAATATTACTTTGAAATAGAGTAACACATGGTAGATACGACCAAGTACATTCGTAGAAATTTCGCCTGCATTCTAGCAGGTATCGTCTGAAACGGTGTCGGCCCTAGGACCCAGCAAAAACTCGTCAAGGGGACAAGCAAAGCTTTGTAAACTTGTGGGAACTTATAGATACGAAAAGTCACTGGGTTTCGATGAATCTCCTGAGCTAACATTGTTAGGAGGAATTTCACTTTGTATGCAAGTGCATAAAGAAGAGATTCGTAGGTAGATTTCATCAAAAGAGGATGGCTGAAGCCCGTTGTACTGCAGCCGTTTGACTTTAATACGACGTTCAGGTTGACGCAGTCCAAGAGACCTGGCATTAGGCTTTTGAACACTGATTTAGGACCAGTATTGTGTATCGACGTCAAGACACATACACGCACACACACAGACACTCAAACGAAAGTGGCAGGACCAATATGAAAGATGATTAGCCAAAGCATTCTATATCTGCTTAATTGAGCCTATATAAGAGGTGTTGACTAGTGTTAACTTGATACTATGAGATGTATTCGCCCAATTTCATTTAAGGTGATGAAGGGCTGGTAGAAGAAGAATTTTCCCACAATGACATGAGTTGAGCTGACGTTTCCCTTGAATTTCACATT